GGGCCTGAACTCTGGGTCTGGGCGCTGTCCCTCAGCTCTTCAGCTCAAGGCGAGCGCTCTACCACTTGAGCTACAGCGCCACTTCCGGTTTTCTGGTGATTTATTGGAGATAGGAGTCTCACGGTCTCTCCTGCCCGGGCTGGCTTTGAACTTAAAAATAATTCTTAAATCCTTATTCCTCCTCAGCTTCTTTCTGCATCCCTTTCTCTGCTCCTCATAGGCTAAAATTCCTGACCCATTCAGTTCACTCTTTCACTGAGCAAATGTTTATTGAATATAGGCCTTGTGTCCCAGGCACTATTCTTGGTACTAGTGCTAAAAGTGAACAGAACTTACTAGTAGGCCCACCTTCCAGTGTCCTCAGTCCCATACATCTATTTCTAGTCATCATAGTTGTCTGTTCCTTTAACATTTGTCTGCAGTTCTCATGTGTTTTGTTGCTAGGGATCCTGCAGGCTTCTAATCATATAAGCTTGTTTCCTCCCAATCTAGGGGATTTGATCTCAGAACCTTAGATTTATAGTAGTTTTTATACTTGGGTGCTGTGACTTTAATTATCTTGAATTATTTCCACTTCAATTTCAGTCTTCCATTTTGTTCTTAGGTTTAGCTATTTCTCTTTAAAACCTAATAGAGATTAAGGGAATAGTCTCTTACCAACATGTTAATAACTAAAATTTAAGATAGCTGACTAGTGTACATTCAGACCTGCGACCTCCATACAGTCTTAGATCAGAGATAAATGGCTGGTTTGTACTTTTTTATTTTACTCAGAATATCCCAGGCTTTGAAAATTTGGTGTTTCCTCTGGGTCTGCTCTATTGTTCAGCTCAGTCTTAGAGATGTCTTGATGCAATGTTTCTCCTTACAGACTGTCCACTCTCCCAGTAGCATGCTTCATACTAGGACATAGTAACTTGATTGCATTGAGAAAACATTTTCAGTTTTTGTTGTTTGTTTTATAACTTTTTTTTCTTTTGTACATCATGGGGCTTGAACTCAGGGCCTGGGTGTTATCCCTGAACCTCCTTTGCTCCATCACTTGAGCCACTACATTACTTTCATGTTTTCTGAGTAGTTTATTAGAGGTAAGAGTGTCTTGGACTTTCCTGCCTTGGCTGACTTCAAACCATGATTCTCAGATCTCAGCTTCCTGAGTATCTAGGGTTACAGATGTGAGCCACTGGCACCCAGCTACAACATGATTTTTATAAATTTAAAAAGTTAAATGTAAGTGTGTATAGTTCAGAAGGATATACTAAGTACAAACAGGTTGCTACATGCATACTTTTCTGTAACATGTCTTTTGTACTATGACAGCAGTTTTAATGATCATTTTGGAGTTGATCTCCAAATAATGATTTTGAAGGTAGTTTTGAATTGAATTTTTTAAAGTTCATCTGCAATTGTAACCATGACAATTCCACATTCATTGTGATTCATTCTTAGACTAATATGGCTAATTGTAAATTTAGTTGAATATAGATTACAATGCTATGGTAGCTATCAGTTTTGTAACAAAGCAACAACTCATATGGCTTGGCCTAGTACTTTATTAACATAACCTATTAACAGATAAACTGAATCCTTTTAAATTAACATTTGAATTAAAATGGAAAGTACAAACTTTAGAAAGAATAAATATGTTCTTAGTTATAGAATCAGATTGAATAGAAATACTCATATTAGTTAGGTTGTCCTCGGGGTTTTATCATAAAAAAAAGTGATGCCAGGCACTGGTGGCTTATGCTCAGGAGGCTGAGATCAGAGGATCATAGTTCAAAGCCAGCCTGGGCAGGAAAAGTCCCCGAGACTCATATTTCCAGTAAACCACCAGAAAACCAGAAGTGGCGCTGTGGCTCAGTGGTAGAGAGCTCTCCTTAAGCTGAAGAGCTGAGGGCACCAGGCCCAGAGTTCAAGCCCCACGACCAAAAACAAAAACAAAAAAAAAGAATAAGTGAGTAAATAGCTTAAAAATTGGCATCATGAGAGGAAAGTAATTAATGTTGATTTCTGAATTTGATGCATAGTAATTGAGTTGAGAAGGGAGAGAGAGAGAGAGAGTGTGTGTGTGTGTGTGTGTGTGTGTGTGTGTGTGTGTTCCTCCACTCCCATACTAAGAAATGGAATAGGCAACAAGCCCAGAGTTCAAGCCCCATGACCGACAGAAAAAAAAATCAGTTTTCTGGGCCTGGGCGCTATCCCTCAGCTCTTCAGCTCAAGGCTAGCACTCTACCACTTGAGCTACAGCGCCACTTCCGGTTTTCTGGTGGTTTATTGGAGATAGGAGTCTCACAGTCTTTCCTGCCCGGACTGGCTTTGAACTGCGATCCTCAGATCTCAGCCTTCGGAGTAGCTAGGACGTGAGCCACTGGTGCCCTGCCAGTTTTCATTTCTTAAGCTGAACAGAAGTTGCCTACAGTTGAATGAAAGGGAAAAAAATGTTGTGCTCAGAAAACTCATTTCTCATCTAAGTTCAAAGTTCTTTTACTTAGTCATTTTGTGTAGGTCATTTAATAACACATGTTGGAGAGAGAAGCCAAGATCAAAAAGCAGTGCCAACAGCAGGCAGTGGAAGACTTGTTAGAAGGATTACTGGCCATCTTTGAAAAACTATGCAGACTGGGAGAAAATGAGGGAGGGTGACACAGTTCCAAAAGAAATGCACTCAGTAGCTGACTATGGAAACTGTTAACTCCTCTGTACATCACCTTTACACTAAAACATTGTAAAGCTGTGCAAGTGCTCATGAGCAGAATAAAGAGAAAGAGCTGTTTGGAATCTGGTAATTTTAAGTGAGTTGTAACAAATGAAAAGAAGTTGTTTTGGAGTGCCCTTGGAGATGGATGGCTGTATGAGGTAGGCTCCATGGCAGGTGGGGTTACTCTTCTGCGTAACCCCCAGTTTTGATTCTGTTTGAGGGAGAATCTTGAAGTAAGAATCCCTAAGTTTTGAGACTTTTGAGCTTTGTTCTCTTCAGTTTTCTGAGTCTTGTCAACATGAAGTAGAGGCTGATGCTGTCCCCATGTAATCAGGGTACGTTTCGTATACCTGGTAATTGCCAGTGCTATTGCAAATATTTTCACAATAACCTTTTCAGATAGGAACCATCCTTATTGGGAAATTTGATGCTATTATTGCAGTAAGAAGTAGAGCTGGGATTTCAAACCCTCCAGCTTGGCTGAGAGTTTGCACTCTTGGTGGTATGATCAGCCCACAGTATATGTGGACACCTAAAATAGATTTGAGGAAAAGCATCTTGGTGTACTGGTCAGTGTGGTGTGGTACTAGTCAGTATGGTGTGGTGCGAGGTTGGAATAGCTAGTCCGTTCAGAATGGAGCATTAAATCTTTGGGCTCTAGCATTTGTTGACAAGCATTTTGTGCCTTGCTTCTTGGTTTCAGTTTGTAGTTTTTTTTTGGATACAAGAAGAAAAGTCTTTTGTTAGTAAGCTTGTCAGTAGTTTCCCATGTCACAAGGTTTAATCTGTTTCTGCCCTGCATATACCATAATTATCGTCCTTCTCTACCTGTGGGATGATTATTGATAGATATCCTTTTCTTTTTGGTCAGCTTGCCATTTCTTATTTATCTTAGCACTTTTGAATGACTTTGAATTCTGCATTTGTGTATTTCTTTCTGGTGCATATGTTCAGCTCTTACTTCTGTCAGTGCTGAGACCTGACAGATCTTTGCTTTGGGGATCCCTGGAATATTGCTTGCCATATATCTAGAAAGATGCAAAGCAGTATATCAGCACTGTTCGCGGGTTGATTTGTGAAGAACTGATGTATTGACAAGGCTTTTCTAGAACTGAGACTGTTACTTGGGGTTCTCTTCAAACTGTTACTTAGGGTTCTTAATGGATAAAATTTTCATTTGTGAAAATAACTTTTAAAGGTTTCTACTGTTGCCACATACAAAGCTTTTCTTAAGAGTTTCTCAATAAATTTATATGCACTCAATCAGTATCTCTTACACCATTTAATTTTATGTTTAGTGACAGATCTTGTTTGATGTTATAAAGGTTTTAATATTATTGAATGTCTGAAAGGCCTAGCATAAACAACTGTTAGACACATCAAATGGTACTAACATTAGAACATGATGCTTACTTAAACTGCGTTTATCTTGTCACAGGAGGAGAGACTTCAGCATGCAAACCTTCATCTGTTCGGCTTGCACCGTCGTTTTCATTCCATGCTGCTGGCCTTCAGATGGCTGGACAGATGCCCCACTCACATCAGTACAGTGACCGTCGCCAGCCAAGCATCAGTGACCAACAGGTTTCTGCCTTAGCATATTCTGACCAGATTCAACAACCTCTAACTAACCAGGTAAGTTGACAAAGTGTCAGAAACAAAGTTGATATGGCAGTTTATTCTTTAAACATGTTAGCCTAGTATATACCTTGTCGTCCCAGGTTTTGGGGAGGCAGAAGCAAGGAGTTGGGCAAAGTTTGAGTCTCAAAAACAAAACATAAACCAAAGGGCTGGGGACATGGCTCAGATTAGGCTTTGGTTCAGTGCCCAGGCCAACCAAAAATTAAAAAAAAAAATGAATAAAGTTGGGGCGGGGAGACAGTGGCACATACCTGCAGTCATAGCTACTCAGGAGTTTGAGATCTGAAAATTGAGGTTCAAAGCCAGCCTGTACTGGCTATTTGATTAACTCCAATTAACCAGCAAAAGGCCAGAAATGGAGGTGTGGCTAACATGGTAGAACAATTGCAACCTTGGTCCAAGAACCTAAGGAAGAGTATTTGGCCCTGAGTTCAAGTCCTGGTACCAGGGGAAGAAAAGTTGGAATATGAAATAATTGATTGCATTTTTAAATATAGTATGAAAGTTTAGATAGGCAAAACATAAGATGTTTATATTTTAAGATCTTTTTTTAAAAGCAAAAGCTGAACACTATATTTTAATTGAAAGATAATCAGAATTGGGGCTCCAAGCCAGACTAGGAAGACACATCCAAGAGACTGTCTCCAGTTAATCAGCAAAAGGCTGTAAATGGAGATGTTACCCAAGTGATAGAGTACCAATCATGAACTGTAAAACTAAGTGTATGAAGGTAAAACTCTGAGTTTAAACCTCATACTGGCAAAAACACACATACACACAAAAGGCTTGGAGCCATAGCTCAGCATTAGAGCTCAGCATTTTAATTTTGCTTACAAAATTAAAAAAAAATTCTTAATAGAGACCCAGAAACACAACAAATCAAAGAAAGGTTGGATAAGTGGGATTACATAAAATTGCAGAGCTTCTGCATGGCAAAGGACATAGCTATCAAGATCAATAGAAAGCCCACCGATTGGGAAAAGATCTTCACTAGCCATACAACGGACAAGGGTCTCATAGAACAACAGATGCTGGAGGGGATGCGGACTGAAGGGAACCTTACTACATTGTTGGGGGGAGTGTAAACCTGTTCAACCACTTTGGAAAACAGTAGGGAGGTTCCTCAAAAGACTCCACATAGAGCTCCCCTATGATCCAGCAATCCCACTTTTGGGCATTTACCCAAATGATCACATACAAGACCACACTAAAGCTACCAGTACGACTATGCTTATTGCAGCATTATTTACCATAGCTAAGATATGGAACCAACCCAGATGCCCCTCAGTAGATGAATGGATCAAGAAAATGTGGTATATATACACAATGGAATTCTATGCCTCCATCAGAAAGAATGACATTGCCCCATTTGTTAGGAAATGGAAATGCTTGGAAAAAGTTATATTACATGAAGTAAGCCAGGCCCTAAGAAACATAGGTCCCATGGTTTCCCTTATTTGCAATAACTAGTATATGTCTGAGTCAAGCAGAAAAGGTCAGATAAGTTGATTTTAGGGAAATGAACCCTAAGATATGTATTCAAATGTTTTTTTCTTTCATGCGATTGTTTCTAACTTATAAGATGATTTCTTTGTTGCTTTGTATGTCCCTCCCCCACGGTATAAGCCCTGCTTTCACTGTATTTGATGTTGGTATAATTTGTGGAGGGGAAGGGCAAAAACAAATTGTTTGAATAGGGATACAGGTGGACCCATTGCAACAATAAGATGTACAAGTCGTTATGTCCAAACACTTTACAACTTTGATCGGCGGCAGGGTGGGGAGGGGATTTGGGGGGAATGGGAAGGGATGGGAAGGGGAAACAAAGGAGGAGGCTACTACAATGCTTGATAAGAAATGTACTCATTATCTTGCCCATGTAATTGTAAACCCTCAGTACAGTATTTTCACAATAAAAAAATTTTTTTTAAAGAAACCTGTTATAAACCATAAACATATAAACTACACATATATATATATTATGCAGTGTAAACATTTTTCGTTCCTTTAAATGTTTATATCATTCACATAATTAATTGACATGTTTATTACTGATACTGTCTTTATTTTTTAATTTTTTTTGGTCTGGTCGTGGAGCCTGAACTCTGGGTCTGGACGCTGTCCCTCAGCTCTTCAGCTCAAAGCTAGTGCTCTACCACTTGAGCCACAGCATCACTTCTGGTTTTTTCTTTTTTGCTTATGTGGTGCTGGGGAATCGACCCCACGGCCTCATGCATGCAAGGCAAGTGCTCTACCACTGAGCCACCTTCCCAGACCTGATACTGTCTTTAATAAATTAAGTTCCCAGGGAACTTAGTTTTACCTACTGCTATTAGTTTTGGAATAAAACAGTATATATTCAGAAAATTATTTCAGGTCTTATTAATTATGAAGATCTCCTCAGTAGTTAAATTATCAAGGGTCTTATACCTGTCCTGCCCTGTGTCTTATTTGGAGCTGTAAGAAGGAGAGGACAATTGGAAGAGATGCATAGTTTACTCAGTAATTCAATGAATTTACTATCTTGAAAAAAAAATTTTTTTTAGAATCTGAGTGTTCATGCAGAGGAAATTTAACATTAATATTGGTAATTCTTCTAGCTGAATGCTTGTAATAACTCCATCGTGCCTGACCACAGGGATGCTGATTAGTTCTTGTTCTGCACAGTTAGAGCCCTTTTCTTTTTAAAATTTTTTTATTTTTATTTTATTAGTATGGGTTAGTTCTCAAGATACTTTTGAAGGTATGAGTTTGTGTTGTTTATATTGTTGGTCTTTCTCTCTAATTGACCTGTGTTCTCTGAGTCGTCTTTGCAAGAGGGTCTGATTCAGCAAATTTCACTTGTAGAAATATCCATAAGAGCCAGGCAAGAATATAGGGAGGACTAGTGTGCTAATACATTGATATAATTGGCTTGAAAAATCTGTTGATTGCAAGAAGTTCCATGGGTCCTTCCCTTCGTTTACTGAGGCATGATGCTTTGTGTATAGTGCTCAAAGAGCAATGTTAGGAATGCACACCTGAGCCTGGGTTTGTGGCTCAGGTGAGTGTCAGTGAGTAAAGTTTGATGGTGCTATCAGCTGCACTTCTTAGCACCCAACAGTTGGCAGCCGTGGGGCTCTGGTACCAACCAGCTTGGGTTTTGGTGTCACTGGAGCCTTGAAATTTTGCCTTAGGAACTTGCAGACTTCCTTTGGTGGTTGGATTTAACTCTGCCCACCTGTTATAAACCTGACCTGACCTGATTTCCTTCTGAGTATCTGAGTAGAATTTTTTTTTAATGTCTAATTGTATGGGAGAGAAGCACTCTGGGGCAGTGTCCGGTGTGTTTCTTGTACCAGAGAGTGTGTAATTCTGTTTAGATTTAGGAGAATGGGATTGAAATCTTGTCTTCATTGGAATCCAGATGAAAAGTAACAAAGAATTTGTAATCTGCTAATATGGATGGCTTTTGTTTAAAAGTACATATATTCAGGGTACAGAAGAAGGTATTGCATGAATACAGTAGAGTTAAAGTGGTAGTCTTCTCTGTCTATTTAAGGTGATGCCTGATATTGTCATGTTACAGAGGCGGATGCCCCAAACCTTCCGCGATCCAGCCACCGCTCCCCTGAGAAAACTTTCTGTTGACTTGATCAAAACATACAAGCATATTAATGAGGTAAGATGTTTGTTATGCTTTCTAAATATTCTAAACTTGTTCTTAATGACTGTCATATTTATGATTATTATGAAGGCTGATAAATTAATGATAGATTGTAGAATTAATTCTATGTAAAAGAAAAGATATAACAAGTATTGCAAACAAGAAAATTGTGGTTACTTTCTTTTTCAAAATAGTATTTAATATACTAAGTTATTTGTATAACCTCTCCAAAACAAGAAGAGGACTAATGACTGTTAAAAAAATCTACATATATTACCCTTTGGCTTAAATTCATTTGTATAGAAACTGAATCTTTTTACTCTTGCTGCTGTAAAGAGTCTTTGAGATATTTTAATACCATGTTGTAGGCAGTTGGCCTAGCTTACTTGAACTATTTATATATGTCTGTGGAATTTTTTTTCCTGTCTTAGTTTTTGTGTTCATTTATATTTTCATGGTAAGATACAAAATATCTTTTTTGTGAAAGTAAATAAGATTTAAAATTACTTGTCTGGTGGCTTGACTTTTTGCCACTAGAGGTTACTTTTCTGGTGTGTTGGACCTGGTTTGGTTTCATTACCATTTGCTTTAGGCCTCTCCTCCAGTTCCTATAATTATTTTCCGTGAGCTGTTCTAGAGCTTTCCTTTTCCAGTGAGAGTCCTGGATCCTTCCTCATTAAAGGTTTATGCCCTGCCAACTTCTTAGGTCCATTCAAGCTTTCAACAGGTTTTATTGTTTCCTGCCAGTTGTTACTACACTGTGATATTGTGGTAAAGATGAAGTTAGAATTCACCCCACCAGGAGCATTTCTAAGTTAGATTATATACATATTATGTATTATGAACAATGTGTCAGATTTTCTTGTGATTATCTGAAAATGTATGTCACTTTGTTACTATCTGTTAGATTGTTAGTAACAAACTATGAGCAGTAGTTTTATTAAGGCTTCCTACATATGTCTTGCCACCTTGTTAACTAGAGCATTTCTGATATGACTCTCCAGAATGTAAGTTAAAATTTCTTCATTTAGGGCTGGGAAGATGGCTCAGTGGTAGAGTGCTTGCCTTGCATGCTTGAGGCCCTGGGTTCGATTCCTCAGCATCATATAAGCAGAAAAAGCCAAAAGTGGAGCTATGGCTCAAGTGGTAGAGTGCTAGCCTTGAGCTAAAGGACAGACTCAGGCCCAGAGTTCAGGCCCCACAATAGACAAAAAAGAGAAAAAAAATTCATTTCCCACATGGACTACTTGCCTAGTTCACCTTATTTGTATATAAAAACTGTTAGTGATTACCACAAGGCTTAAGACTTCAAGTGATGATGGACAAAGGGATTTTTTTTTATTAACCATTAGGTTGTTAGAAATTGAGTCTAGACAATGGTGAATGACACTAAATCTTCCTTACTTAGGAGGCTAAGTTCAGGAGATTGTGGTTTCAGGCCAGCTTATGCAGAAAAGTCTGAGAGATTCCCATGTTGAGAGAAGAAAGCTGGGCATGATGCCTTGCCCCCTTCATCCCAACTGCAAGTAGGAACCTAACACAGCGAATCATGAGCAAGAGCAAGACCCTGTCTCAAAAAAAAGATCTGGAGGCCGGGTGCTGATGGCTCACTCCTGTAACTCTAGCTTTTCAGGGGACTGAGATCTGAGGATCAGTTCAAAGCCAGCTCGGGCAGGAAAGTCCGTGAGACTCTTATCTCCAATAAACCTCTAGAAAACCGGAGAAAAGAAAAAAAAAAAAAAGAAAAACTCTAGAAAAGCAGTAGAGTGCTCGCCTTGAGCTGAAGAGCTGAGGGAGAGTACCCAGGCCCAGAGCTCAAGCCCCATGACTGACCCCTCAAAAAAAAAAGATCTGGAGGCATGGCTTAGTAGTCGAGCACTTGTGTAGAAAGCTTGACCCCTTGAGTTCACACCCTAGCACCATTTGTTTCGTTTGGCTTTTGTTGATTGTATTAGTATACTTTGTACAGATACCTCCTAGGTCTGGGTTATTTTTCTAGAGAAGTTATACTTATCAAGCAACTGTAAATGGGCCGTTAACACTTCTTGAAAAAGATGTATTAGAGAGAATATCAGCTGTTTATCAGATGTAGCTCCAATACAATTATGTAGTGAAATTGACATAAATATGTGTTCACATTGGTTATACCAGTTAATATATTCTAACCCAAGTGCCACCTATAGAAAAATTCTATATTTCATTTGTTGGTATTTGTCATGGAAAATTAAATTTCATCGGTGTCTTGGAGAGCTTTGCCTCATATATACTCTTGATTCGTAAGCACCCTCTTCCAGCCCTGTGCAGGTATAATAGTGAGTTACATTCTACAGTTAACACTGTATGTTTTTATTCCAGGTTTACTATGCAAAAAAGAAGCGAAGACACCAACAAGGCCAGGGAGACGATTCTAGTCACAAGAAGGAGCGGAAGGTTTACAATGATGGTTACGATGATGATAACTATGATTATATTGTAAAAAACGGAGAAAAGTGGATGGACCGTTACGAAATTGACTCCTTGATAGGCAAAGGTTCCTTTGGACAGGTAATTTAATGAAAAATACTGAATTTTATTAAAAGAACTTCATAGTTACATTGTTAAATCTTTCCCTCATTAACACACTTTTAATATTTATAATGCTTGAAACAATGGATATCTTAAGTATGAAGATAATCAAAAATTCTCCAAAGATAGTAAGACTGCATCAGGTACAAAAACTCTACTAGACATTTTTTTCAACTTTTTAAAAATTAGCTGTTAACTAATGTACTGGTTAATTTCAATTACTAATAGCGAATACTATATTTTCACTAGACTTTATAGATGGTTGTTTATTATGTGTGTTAGAGATGCTTACGTTTCTATCTGATCATTTTTTGGTGTTGCAGTAGCTACCCAGTCACTTTTCTGGAGACTTTGACTCTGCCCTGGGTTTTTTCCTCATGTCCTCTTAGTTTGTCAGGTCTCCAGTGTGGCACATAGGCTTCAAAATGTCTTCCTTAGTTCTCAAGCACCACATTGCTAATACTCAGGTTGGCTAACAACAATGGACCTGGTTTCCCCCCTAGCTCTTGGTTCTTCTCTCCACCTACCACTCTCCATTCCTTATCTGAACACCCAACACCCACCCCCTAGCCACTCCATTACAGAGCATAAAACCCTGTAATAGGATGAGTCTCCTAGATCAGGAGTCAGCCTTACCCTCTTCTTCTCTTTCTTGGTACAGGGATCCTGCTACGTAGCTCAGCCTGACTTCAAACTTGCTTCCTGCCCCAGCCTCCTGAGTGCTGGGATTATTTCTCATACTCTGGAAAGGCCTTTTCTCTGGCATGTTTCCCTAGTTGTTAGCACCCTGACCTCCTACCTCACAGTCGCCAAACTTCTGAAATTTGAGATGTGATTTTCTGTTAATCTGTCTGGTAGGCCTTATGCAGTTACTTAGATATTAATGAGCAGTCCATACCTCATTGATGGAGTCAAAATGACTTTTATTGAATTGGATGTTTCTCTTTTTTTTCCTCCCCCTTTATTTTTGACAATAGTTAGGTTTGAACTCTGGGGTTCTCTATTACAAAGCAGGCATTTTACCTCTTGAGCCATGTCTTTAGCCCCTTTTTGCTGTATTATTTTCAAAGTAGTCTTCGGGCATTATGCCCCAAGAGGTGTGCTGGATGCTCCTGTTTTCCCATGTCTTTTTTTTTTTTTTCCAATAAAATTTTATTACTAAGATTCTATACAGGGGCTGGGAAGGAGGCTCAGTGGTAGAGTGCTTGCCTCGTAAGCATGAAGCCCTGGGTCTGATTCTTCAGCACCACATAAGCAGAAAAAGCCGGAAGTGGTGCTGTGTTTTCAAGTGGTAGAGTGCTAGCCTTGAACTGAAGAGCTGAGGGACAGCACCCAGGCCCAAGGTTCAGGCCCCATGACCGACCCCACCTCCAAAAAAAAAAAAAAATTCTGTACAGAGGGGAATACCATTTCATAAGTCAGGTAACAAGTACTTTCTTTTTTTACACAATGTTTCCCCTTCCTTAGCTTTCCCCGGTTTTTCCTTCCCATCCCTGCCCACAGTTATATAGATCAGTCTACTGTATACTGAACCTTTGCCCCCTGAAAAGGAAGGGGAAAAAAAGGCCCAAAACTATGAACAATATAATAACAAAGAAACCTTATCTTTCTCTTCTTCCCTCCTTCTCCACTTCTTCCTCCTTCTTTCTTTCTTTCTTTCTTTCTTTCTTTCTTTCTTTCTTTCTTTCTTTCTTTCTTTCTTTCTTTCTTTCTTTCTTTCTTTCTTTCTTTCTGCCAGTACTGAGGCTTGAACTTAGCTTCTTCACTCAAGGCTACCACTCTATCACCTGAACCACAGCTCAAGTTCTTTACTGGTTATTTGGAGATAAAAGATTTTTT